TCCAGGTGATATTTAGAGGGCCGTGAATTCATTTGTRTATGAATTTAACATACTTAGAAGTGAGGATGTGCTCAAGACAGTTTTAAGTAGTAATTATAAAAAAGGCAAATCCCTGATTAAGTGACATCTATATCCTAGTTGGAGGGAAGAACATCAACGAACAGAATAAAGAAGGAAATTATTTTGTAGGCTAGTTGATAACGACTGCTATAGAGAATAAAACAGTTTGTGGAGAATTGAATTTGCAGGTAGGGAGAAGCATAGATTGGTGTCCTYGGGGAGTAGTTATTAAGATGAAATAGAGTCAACAAATATGAGGGTAGAAGAGTGCAGAGAGGACAGCGCACAGTCCAGGAGGGCCTTGCAGGAGGTCATAAGAAAGTTGCCTTTTACTCAGAGATTGGAGTAATTAAAGGGCTTAGAGAAAAGGACAGCCTGATCTGATTTGATTTTTGGCAGCGTTGTTCTTTACCTGGGAGTGAGTGTGGAGGCAACAACAGTCAGGAGGATAAAGCCACAGTCCAGGTGGGAGATGATGATGGTGTGGACCAGCAATAGTGATGGAATGTGATTTCTGTCCCATCTTTATTTCTTTTCCATCTGACACTTTCATTAGGTTCATGTTAGTATGCTTAAGTAGTAATTATAAAAAAAATTATTTAAAAAATTATTTTAAAAAATTCATCATAGAAATGATCCAGTTTGGACTTTTTGTTGTATGGAAATTTTGATTGCTGGTTTAATCTCTACCTATTATGATCTATTCATATTTTCTACATCTACTTGAGTCAATTTTGGAAGTGTTTGGAAGTGTTTCCAAAAAATATGTCCATTTTATTGAATATATATGCAATATAAGCTGTTTTATGTGTTCATTTTTTTACACAGAAATATGTTCTTTTCCTATATATGCCAATAGAAAATAAAAGATATATAGAAGAATTTGAATACAGTAGGGAATTTATGGTATGGTTAAAAGATACTGAGAAAAGAACTAATCTGCTTACCGAGTTGCACATGATTGCTGAGTAGGTGCAAGAATGAAACTTTAAGAAGAAGAATAAACTAATCTTGACTGAACAAGAGGTTACATAAATTTTAAAAGTGGAAGAAATGGTAAGCATTTTATTTTAAAGAAAAATGAAAGTTTATATTTCATACTTATGAATTTTAGATTTATTAAGCAAATAAATTAAGCACCATCCAAGGACATGGGGAAATTCYGCATGACCTTTAGGTATTGTGTTTTGATCACACATTAGATTTCACTTACATCTTGTTTTGCTAGATTTTTTCTATGCACACATAGGAAACTGGGAAAATACATTCATCCTACTTTATAGAAAGTATATGGTCAACGTGCAAATACTATTACCTCTGAACTCATTGTTCATAGCTACTCAACAACTTCTAAAAATAAAAGTAAAATTTAAAGACAGAAGGCTGAGACAGAAAGACCAGGGGACCTGGCTGATTACCACAGTTCTACTGGGCTGAATATCTTCATTGTCACCTCTAAATTTTCCTGCCACTGTATGGAAATTGCCGTAAAGGAACTTCCATAAACTCAAGGAGAGCTGTCTGAGAGATTTAACCTTGACAGTGCCTTCATTTCTGTAGGTTTATGCAAATAATGTGATGGACATTTTCCTTTATGAGTGAAGAAATAAAGTTTATTTTCACAATGTAGCTACATTTTTGATGTGCTCTTTATTTTCATACTCGGTAAGGAGAGATATGTATATGAAATCATCATGTGTCATATTAATGATATAATCAGTTAAGGAGTGATATGAGATATGGGGAAGATTCAAATGTGAAGTGATGAATCATGTTTGAATACKGTAGGGATGTTTGGTGCTGGCAGACATTATTTGGGAGACTCAAGCAGTGGAAGTAAATCAGCATAAAAGTCCTTCTCCATATTCTCCCAGAACCACCTGAATTTACCTGCAACATTTTGCTTACAGCAACAGGTTCCTATCTCAAGTGCCTGCAGCTCTTTGGAAAATACTAAAAATCCATTTAAATGCAATAATAAAAATGATCACAGTAATACTGCTTAAAGAGGAAATTAAGTATATTAATAATATAAAAGAACTAAAGGAAACATTAATCATAAAATACAGTTACATAAAGAACTGATGTGGCGAAAGCAAAATGGAAACAGATATAATGAGTCAGAGAACAAAAAGGAACTAGAAAATAAATGTGAGATAAATCATTTCAGTGTGCAGGGACATTAAATTCATATTTGGAGTATGCTTGACAGTGCAGAGGAAAAGCATTTCCATTGAACTGACTTGTGAACACAGCACATGGGCATCTATTTTATGTTAGAATATATGTAAATTCCTAGGCAGTGGCCAGTGACCCAGATGGAATAAGGGTATGTGGCTGAAAAATGAAAGTAGATGTGAAGTGTGACTATTTTACGTAACAGGTTAACATTCATCACAGAGCAGTCACTGTGGAACAGGCAATCACGGGGTGATGTCATATACATTTCTGTTTTACTGTAATCCTTTCCTCCACTCTTATTGTCAATGCATTTCCAAATTAGAGAAAGGCACTTTCTTGTCCCACACTTTGAAAATATGGTTTTATGACAGGTCAACCAACCAGCGTTTGTTTGACAACAATGACTCTTGTATTTACTTTAAGTATATGTCTAGTCTTCTTCCATTTCTACAAAGTCTACAAAGTGCTTTTCCACATTTTGAGGAAACTGAAGTGGCCAAAAACTTTAGTAGTCTTCAATATCATAGATAAGAAAATGACATCATGTGGGAGACCAGCCTCGCATGTGACTGAGTTAACTCCCCTGCTGGGCGATGTGGCATCAGGCATCCTACAGCCCCATGGGTGGAGCTATGTTCACTTGTTCCTTTGTAATATTACCCCTTGCCCTGTTTAGGATAGAATGTTCCATGGAAGTGCCTTGAGTGTGTCCCCTTCACTTACTGTGCCCTTGGGTGTGGCCTACCCAGGTGTCAGTCAACCTGCTGACAGTGGACATCATGAAGATAGACTCAGCCCCCTGAAACCTGACCCCTTGCCTCATTTGAACAGCTTCTCCTCAATAAAAGGGGTCAGCGCATGGCTCTCTCTCTTCCTGCGGACCCTTAAGGTCAGAGGAGCCGTCACAGTGACCCCAAAGAAAAAGGATTTGTGTCTCTTGTGTGGTTATTTTGTGCAGCCCAGTCAGCCCAGTTTACCTGGAGTGACTCCTGAGCCTTTTAGTTGGGAATAGAAACCTGGTAACATCACTTGTAGTCATTCCGTGTATTGGTTGTCCAGAACAATTAGCAAATAGATCTCTTCATTTTATTTAGTAAGAAATTTATGGTCTGGATGAATTTTTGCCAAAATTTACACCTTCTTTGCTTACTGAAGATACAGATAAATGATTAAAGTTTTGTTTTTGGATATTAACAATCTTTTATTTCAGTTTTATATGGTTGATTTATAATCTTCATAGAAATAAGTACCATTTGAAACTCCATTTTTCAAATCAAAGTAACAAGAAGCACAGGAAATATTTTTATTTGTGCTTTCATGATCCCATACATCACACTATGATAGGTAAGATCTGATATAATCATCTTTGCACTGTAAGGGGTAAACATAGGGAGTATCAAAATGTCTCATTTTGTTCAACCACAAGTTATTTTTGTTACAGTATCTGGATCAGGAAATGTAACTTTACTCAGTTTCATAAACAAAGGAATGATAGAACACATGTTTGTTCATGTGATTATGTCCAAGATATTTTAGCTATTCATTTTTGACAAACATCAATCTTTTAAAATTTAGACTTAGAACTATTTCTCTGATTCATCCTGGACTTGCAAAATCCCCATCTCCAATACCTCTTTCATGCTGTTGTCTGTCATGCCCACTATGAAAATCTGTCCTTCCTATTGTGCACCATGTTGTTGAATTTACCTAAGTCAATTGTATGTATTCTTCCAACTGAATAGTTACATAGAATTTTCTTTTGGTGATTTCTGGGTTATGATAGTACTGATACTGTAATCATTCTCATTTGGATGGAATTTTTTAGCTACAAAGCTAAAAAGTACTGCTGTTGCTAGGAAGTAAAATCCTAAGTATTCCACACTCAAATGCTTCTGTTGAAAGGATATTTAAGTCAATGTCATCCTATGGACGGACAACAAGAATCAATGTCATATGGGCTTGGCTCGAGCAGAACTGCAAGTCAAAAGTGATTTTTACATTTGTCTGTACTAAGTTTTACAACTACACAAGAAGAATGCCATAAAGGCTAGAGGCAGAAGTGTTATTATTGGAAAAGGCAGCCGAAAGAGTAAAAATACCCTAATATATACAGGACAGAAACGTGTCTTTTAAATATAGTTAGTCATTTCATATTTATATTCTCCTTTTAAAAGATCTTACATTTATGCCTCTTCAGAATACACAGTAATATAGCCTACAGAATTTGTCTAATAAAAAGTTAAATTGCTGTACCAGTGGAAATATTGTCCTCACACACAGGTGTAATTAGTTGTACTAATCACCACTCTAAATTAGCCCTATTAAGGTTCTATTAAATAATAGCATCCCTGTAACAGAAAAGTAGATCCATAAAGAAAAATCATTTCAAACACCCATTTTTCATAGGTTTGAGATAATAAACCATTTTAATACACATYGTGGGTTTTTGTTGGTGGTGCTGTTGTTTATTTCTTCTGGTGTTGGCTGTCTGGAAAGCTGGGCATCTACTTCGGGTCACAGACGCCGAGAAATCTAGAACCCCTGGCGCGCCCAGACCCCCTCTCTTCTGGGCGAGGACCACCGACCCCTCAAACCCGCACAGCACCTCTGAGGCGGGTCCAGTCACCACGGGTTAACCAAGATGAACGCTTGCGCCTGCGCCCCAGCACCTACAGGAACTCCCACAAACCTCGAGGGCACACGTTTCCGGTTTTCCGGCTCCGGACTACATGTCCCCTAGGCCACTGCGATCCAACCAATTTAGCCTGGAACTGCACTACCCAGAGGCCACCGGGGCACCTTCGCCTTACGCTCTGACTGTCCCGGGTGTTGTGATTTTTAACCTGGCAGCGAACTTTGGATTTCTGTGAGGAAAATAAAATCAGCGCCCGGCCTCAGGCCGAGGGCTTGCAGACTCGGGCGAGCCCCACGGGGTAAGTTGGACTTCTGTGAAGGAAAAGAGTGTGGGGAGCTGTGGGGGTGGGCGACTGAGTCCGCGGCCGCGGGCTGAGCGTGGAGTGGACGGGACACGCAGGACGGCGACCGAGCTCGTCCAGACCGGATCCGAAGCCTGTGTGTGTGTGTGCGCGCTCGCGGGAGCTGGGGGGCGGGGCGGACTTAGGAACGTCCGCGCCTGTGACAGGGACCCTGTGTCCCCAGGAAGACTGGGTGCGTGACCTGTGAAGCTGGCTTCTCTTCGCGGCGGGGTGCGCCTCGGTGCCCGGTGTTCTGGGCTCCCGTTGCCTTCTGCACCCGTTTCCAAACCGCGACAGGGTCTGTCCCAACACAGGTGGCCCCCAAGCGAGCTCAGTTCCTGAATGAAGTTTCCCAGCAGGAAGGCTCGAGATGATCTCTGTATGGGAAGTTTAGAGTTGAAGTGTTTTCGGGGGCGGGGGGGGGGGCGGGAACCGACAAGATTGGGAAATCTCCCTCCTCCCAGATGGGGGGTCTGTGGGTGCCAGTTACAGTTTGAGAAACGCGGCATTCCCGGGGCACTGACGACAGGTTCTGCCTCCCATTCACTTCCATCCGGTTATATGTGTGAGGAAGGTTTGAGTTTGGCCTGGAGAGGGTTTTCTGAGTCCCCAAAAGGCCTTTTGTCTCCAGGGTCTCTTTTTCCAATTCTGTCATTCTTTAAGAGAAAGACCCTAACGCAAAGAAATAAATGCTGCTTAAGTAAGAATTAAGATTTAGGAAAATTTGTGTTTCTCTTTTGTACATAAAATCATTGTTTTCAGAATATGAGAATATTTACTTTCCTTTGCCTGAAATATTCTCCGGAATTGTGACCTCTCTAGATCTTGTGAATGAGGTCCTGGGAGATTGTGCCTCCGTTCCCTGTGACTGCTCATTCTCTATCTCTTCGTTAATTTCTTGTTCCCTTTGAACAAATCATTCAGATCCTCTTCTGTGCTCTCTTTCTAAGCATTGTGATGGTTTGGTGGATAAATACAACTCTGAAGTTGGCTTTTAGAACTACTTTTTAGATTCTGTTTTAGTAAGGAGGACACTTAGTATCTATGTTGCATGGCATGCTAGGTAACATTTTTGCCTGAGGCATCATTATCAAAGCTTAGCAAAGCAGAAATCAGTTTAATGATTTTAGTAAACATGACAAAGTCGTATTCTGGGTGAAGCTTCTAGAAGTGGCAGATTGGAGCATATATAGGTTGCTCTGTGTCCTGAGAAACTTATTAGGTCTTCTTTGAGTTTTGACTGCAGAGTCTATTTCAGAATCATTAGGCCGTAAGATGCAGTGTGGTGTGCTGTTGAAGAGTATGAGTTTTGAATTTTCAATATCTGATTTTGAATCTTGGTTCTGCCACTTACTAGATGTTTGAGTTTGAACAATCTGTTTATGCATTCTTGTTTACATCTCTAAAATAGGATTGATAATAGTTTCTGCTTCATAAGGATATAAGGATAAGAATTTTTTGGGGGGGGGGCAATGCCAGGGATTGAACTCAGGGCTGCTTAACCACTGAGCCATATGCCCAGCCCTTTTTAGTATTTTATTTAGAAACAGGATCTTGCTGAGTTGCTTGGGGCCTCACTAAATTACTGAGGCTGTCTTTGAACCTGTGACCCTCCTGCCCCAGCCTCTGGGGCTGCTGGGATTACAGGCATGTACCACCTCATCCAGCAGGATAAGATGTTTTAGTATGTGTAAAGTCCATTAAAACAGTGCCTGGAACATTACACATGTTCAGGAAATAKTAACTGTTTATTAGTTAGTAATTCTGGATTATTCTCCTTCAGAATTCAGTAGCAACAGAAATAAACTCAATTGGCTAAAAAAAGGAAATTCTTAAAATGATATATTTGACATTATTTAAGAGCCTTCCAGGTGATCACAACCCACCTGTAAATGCATGTGGAATTGTATGTAGAAAATAAACAGACACACACACATATTTTTCTGGGGAGAAACATTGTGATTTTATTCTATTAACAAAGATACTATGCATCATAAAAATACTTTGAACCATTGATGTGCAAATACTTTAATATCTGATAATGATCTTGTATAAGTTCAGTGTAATGTAAATGGTTAGGTAAARTCATGTGATGAAATTAGATTCTACCTTCATCACAACTCTGCATCCAGGGGAATGGCTTGATTTGCTGGAGTTTGAATCCTCTTGTTTTTCCTCAAAATTTTGCTTAATGGTAGTTGTGGCATGGTTTGGAAGCTAAAATGAAGAGACAAAAAAAGTTTATCAATTTACGTCATTGGGAATACTAAAGCCTCCTTTTCTTCTTTCAGCTCTGAGTTTCTCTGAAGAGGAACCCCATATTTCAAAAAGCATGGCCCAGGTAAGTTAGTATTTATTTTTAAAATAATGGTATTTTTAGATTACATAGCCATTTTCACTAATTAAGCTGAATTGATCTGCCTAAGAGAACACCATCTAATTGCTTATTGATTCTTCATTGAAAGAATGATGCCAAATAACTGTTTCCTCCTTACAACGTCCTCTGTTCTTCTAATCAGTGTTCATGAATTCATTGAACAAATAACTGTGCAGGAACTATGTGATAAGTCTTTGTGGAAGGGCTATGATAAAATAATTAAGGAGTGAAATCCATGAGAGAATTATTGAGCTTACTCTGTCTTTGGTTTGGTGAGTTAGAGCTGTTGGCTTTACTAGTTCACATATCCAAGATTCATAGTTTCCCTGAATCCTGATAAATTGGAATTTTTGTATTGTTTGATCTCAATCTTAGTATGATGAGATCACATGCTCTTAAGGCTGACTGGGAACTTCACTTTGACATGAAAACATTCATATGGTTTTGCCAGGGGATGTTGAGGGTGATGCTAGGTTAGTCTTGTGTAATGGTAGCATACATCTGATTCTGAGTCATCTTCATAATAATCCACTGATTCAAGAACAGCAAAAAGTGTCAAGTGAGGAATCCTGTATAATAATACAAGTATATTTTCCTAAGTAGTAGGTTAATTGATTACAGATTGGGGAAACCCGAGACAGTCCAGTCTACATGTATAAATATGAAATAATTTGCTAACTCTTTGTTGAGAGCCACAGCCGAAGGGGCCCCAGCAAACTTCCAGCTGCCAGCTGATGATTGGCTCACAGCGGCCCCAGCAAACTTCTAGCTGCCAACTGATTGGCTCCTCTGCGGTGATGCTCATTGGGCTGTTTCCCCGCCCTTTCAGACTACGGAGCTGCTCATTGGGGGAC